CCTGTGTAGTAAGGCACGGAATAGGGGCTGCTAAGAATCACCTGGAAGACAGGAAGGAGTCTCGGGCATTGTTGGAGAGAGAAGGAGAGAGTGAGTGAGTGAGTGTGTGTGTGTGTGTGTGTGTGTGTTGCGACTGTGTACCTGCACTTGTGCCCCATCACCACCCCTTCATTGAGCCCGCCTCACCTCTCCCAATGCTCGCTGGAGTCAGAGAAGATGCCCCATGTGAAGGTGTGCGGAGCTTCCCAACACCTAAGCACATACAAATTTTCCTTGGGCATAACTTTACTGACAGAGCATTCTCTTCCCTGGAAAGCAAGTGGCCCCATGTCATCCTCATGGAATAATGATAGCCTGGCCAGAGACTCTGGGGTCTGAAATTAATGAATCAGCCCCTTTGTGGACAGCAGTCACACTCAAGATGGACTGCATTTGCCCTGATTTTTTCTAGGCTATTTTCTACTCAGCTGAGCTGGCCGTAGACTGGGCACTGGGACCATCTTCTGTTTTAAAATGGGAAACGGAGTCACGGAAGAATTAGCTACCTTGTCAGTGTACGGATAGGAAGTAGAAAAGCTGGGACTTAAAGCAGTCACTGTGGAGTCAATGCCAACTACTGGTGGCCCCGTGTGTGTCAGAGCAGAACTAAGTTCCATAGAGTTTTCAGTAGCCCATTTGTCAGCAGTCCATAGCCAGATCTTTCTTCCAAGTTGCTGTTGGGTGAAAGCGAACCTGCATCCTTTTGGTTAGAAGTCAACCTTGTTCAATCTTTGTGCTACTCACAGACGCCTGGGCTGGAGACCTCGTCCTCAGATTACTAGCACAACGTGCACCACTCAAGCCCACTGCCTCTCTATATACCATAAAAACTATTGGAATGGATTCTTTAGTCTTTTCATCTCTCTTACCATCCTTCCTTATCTTAGAGCTTCCTCAATGGCAAGATAAGTGGCAAGTTAAGGAAATGTGGCATACAACAAGGAGAATATAGGTCTTATAAACGCATATAGAAACCATAAATTAAAGTTGTATAACCGTTAACTAGCTAGCCTCCATTTCCCAATCAGTTCAAATTACTTTAATACATGTTTGAGAACTCAAAATTAGCTATGATTCACAATTGTAACCCTCTTAATGCACATGGAATTACACCATGTCGTTTTATTTTCATTACCCCCCTTTCCTAGCGTGTCTCCCCCACTGCCACGTGTACCCAGAACTTGAGAGAATCTCAACTCCCCACATCTCAAATGAATCATTTCCTCCTTATAGATTGAGTAGGTTCATTTTCTACTTCAAGGGCCTGTATGTATAATTTGCCTTCACATAATTCACTTCGATTTTTTTCCTTCCAAATCCCCTACTGTGCTCATTCCTCATAACACTGCCTATAGTCCTGTCAAATTAGAGTGAAGGCGATGCACCCAAATGCCCATCTTTGTCTCACATTGGGCAGAGATGCCCTGTGACTGTGTCATTCAGAAATTGCAGGTGATGCGTAGTCGGGAAGATGGCGTGAACACGTGTGCAGAGAGCTGCAGGAACTCCCGAATGCTCCTTTGTTCATTTCCAAAGAGAAGAGACCTTCTCCATGGAGACATTTCCAGTCACTAGCTAAGCAACTCAAGAGAAAAATCACTGGGAATTCATAATGGTTGTCTAAAAAGACATACATTGTAGAGAAACAGGCACCGATAGAATTCCGGTTCTCCTTGATCAGAGAGGAAAAAACAAACAAACAAAACAAAGGCAAGGCAACCAACCAAACCCTCTGCCAGCGAGTGGATGTCGACACCTAGTAACCCTATAAGGACCTAGTAGAACTGCCTCTATGGGGTTCTGCCACTGCGACAATGACAGGAGTAGAAAGCCCAGGCTTTCTCCTCTGGAGTCCGAAAAGAACAGCTGGGTCTGATTGCCAATCAAGATGATCATAGAAAACAATCTCAGACACCAGGTCTCCGAAACAAAGCTCAGTTAAGCAGTGTCACTTTGATGTCCTCCCTCTGATGCCAGTGACCTGCTCATACCAGCTCACTCTTTGGAAAGGGCTGGAAACCACTGAGACACAGTGTCCATTACTTTATGATAGCCCCAAGTCTTCTAGAAGAAACGGGTTGAGATTCTAAGAGATGGATAAAGGTCCACTGATGTCATTTCCACAGCAACGTATCTTCAGCCCATGACCATATCTGTTCCAAACCAGCCAGACAACGAGGAGGTAAGCTAGTGCAGTGAGCTGCCTGAGTTTCCTAAAGCGGTAACAAAGTACCACAAAGTGAATCGTCAAAAATGACAACAGAAATCTTTCTCATAGTGAGAGAGGCTAGAAGTTTAGAACTTCTATTAGGTCTCAAGGCTCTAGAGCAGTTTCCCAAAGGGGGCAATACCAGCCGCCTGGGGACCTCCGGAACAATCTGGGGTACTGTCATTGCAAAATCAAGCACTTATACTGTATCCTGAATCAGGGGCTAGAGTTACACAGATTTAAATTACTGGGAACCTCTGTTTCTCTAGGCTTCTGGTAGACCCAAGTGTTTCTTGGCTTAGAGCAGTGTTCAGTGGTTACATGGGCAACTTCTTTCTGCGTGTCTCTCTCTGGGCATCTTCTCTGTCTGTAGGGCACTAAACAGATAAGATTAGGACCCACAGTGCTCCAGTATGACTTCACATTAACCTAAATGATGACCTCTTCAAAACCCCTATTTCTAAACAAGGTCATATTCACAGGTCTTCAACAGATCGTTGGAAGATCATGGAGCACAGTTTGATAGTTGATAAGAAGGGCACATGTGAGGATATGTGTAGACAGACTGGATACCCTTCTGTAGGACAGGTGGAAGTCTAGCCCTCATCCCTTGCATCGCCGATTCCTTTGGTTACTGACTTGGCCGACTCTGCACTGTGAGTGGTGCTAGCCTAAGGTGACCAGATTTTAACATGGTAAATCGGGGCAAAACAGGACCCCATTGATAAAACTCATATCCTGGCGAAATAGCCACATGGCAGCCGAAAACCATATACCCTAGCTTGTTGTGCATTCTTTCCAAAAATCAGGACTTTTTAAAAACGCCGCGGGATGCAGGAAACATTGTTAAAAATCAGGACTGCCCCGCCAAAAGCGGGACGTCTGGTCACCTTATGCTAGCCCCTGTAACATGGTGCACCTACAGACAGCCTCCTGCCTTCCTGGTACATGTGAGAGTTCAAAGGACCAATCCAACATATCATTCTTGCTGTATCATTTTAACCTGCTGTCTCAGTCCCTAGCTTTCTTGCCAAAACTCAACCTCAGGCACAAATGGTGAGAAAATAACTTTTGCTTACTGAGCCAAAGACAGCACCCCAATAGTAATGGCTATTTGTCTAGTAACAGAACCCATGGCTTCCTAAACCAGAGGGGCTTGGATCGCCGACCCTAATGGCTAAATGTGGGGCTATACCTTAAACCCACTGTCATCTAGTTGATTAGGATTGATAATAAAGCCTATAGAACAGTGATTCTCAACCTTCCTAATGCCGCGACCCTTTAATACAGTTCCTCATGTTGTGGTGAAACACACCCCCCCCCCACCATACACACACACCATAAAATTTTCATTGCTACTTCATAACTGTCATTTTGCTACTGTTATGAATCCGGCCCCTCCTGTGAAAGGGTCATTCGACCCCCCACGGGGTCGTGACCTACAGATTGAGAACCGCTGCTATTGCAGTATCGAGGTTTACGGGAGCAAACGCCCTCATTTGGGGGGCACAGAGCTGCTGGTGATTCACACTGTCAGCCTTTGCTTGCTAGACAATGTCTCCAGGGATCCTAAACTTTGGAATTGATTGATATAAGGGGGAGAAAACAGTATGTTTGGAGCTGCACTGAGTTGTCATTATCTATGGAAGGGTTCAGTGTGTTTATTCATTGATCCTGTGCAATGTCAAGTTCAATATAAGATGCTATGGTGTCTCCCTTGCAAATTTTAACCCCTGTGTTCTAATGTATAGCAGTAGCCTCCTCTTAACCTTCCCCCCAAGACTCACAAACACAAAATTACCCGAATGGATACTTTGGATAGAAGCTGAACAACTCGGAGGTTGTCAAACGGTGCTCCAATCCTCTGTGTAGTCAATGGGATTTCTATAGCCTGAGAAAGTCTTGAAAATACAAGTTTGGTTCTGATTACATAAATATGCTACAGAAGTATATTAAAAAAATCATCACTAAACCCCTCCAGGTGCTTAAACAGTTTGATAGACTGTAGCCATTCTGCCATCAGCGCCCCCAGCTGTGTTGCTTAGCAACATTTTAATTCCAGAAGAATCGAAGGAGATGAAATCCCTGTGGAGAGGGAAACAGAAATAAGAAGGTTGTTGACAGATGATCCGCGTTGTTTCTTCTGATATACTGTGAAGATCACTAGCTCTTTTCATGAATGATAAATGGACTGTCCACAGATCAATGGGTGCAGCAGCACACTGGAACCGGCTCCTTGGCACAGGCGGTGCAGGCCCAGAGGTTCCTCCTTTCAACAGCTGGATGTGTTTTCTGAAAGAGCTTACAGGAGGGCATCCAGCTGAGCCTTCCATCAGCCCCTGCTGTTTCGTGGTGTGGGCTCATGAAAATGATTCTGGAAATGGACCTTTTGACCTTTCTCTCCTGCGCAGGTACAGCCAGGTATCCATTGTGACGTGAGGGGGATTGGTGGCCTAGAAGTCCAGGATAGGTCTGTGACAATTATTTCCACAGCCACCTGCCTGCTATTCCAGTTCCACCTTTTCAGGCCCAGGCAGGGGTAAGCGGAGGCCCTTCTGGCAGTGTCCGAGCTGGACAGGAGTAGAAGATCCCTTTGGGAGTTTCCACTCTGCTGATCTCCAGCAGCTGGCTTTAGAGAGCCTCTTCATTTGGAAGAACATTTTACATGGCTTATTGTTCTGGTAACTAGTCACCAAGATTATGCCTGCTAATGTTGTCTAATTATGTTTCTCTCTCTCTCATTCTTTTTTAGGCTGTTGAAAAGACAAAGCCTAAGAATAATGCTGGAAAGTAAGTTTATTTTTTATTATTACGTGGAAACTTTCATTTTAATGGACTCTTTGCTTGGACACCAGCAAAAAAGAGGGGGTCATTAAAAGAGACCTTGGGTGTTGGCTTCATCTCAATTCGTGATGATTAAAAGAATAAGAGGCAAAAGAAAGAGAGAAGCAACCGCCCTCCCATAAGCAGGGGATAGATAGCTTTGATGTCTCCCTGTGTCCCTAATGAGGAAATGCCCCAAGGTGTGGCCAGTGGACATGACTTGCTCTGTGCCACCCATGAAGAGCTGCCAAATGCTATTATAATCGTATTTGGCACACAGTCCTTCAAGGACATGCTAAAGTAATGACATTTTACATTTAAAACCTTGGGCCTATGACAGAGATGGGTGTGGCTGGACCTGTGCCAAGTGACGTCTAGCCACCATGTGGGGAGGTTTGGTCAGGCCACATCAAGGCCTCTTTCTTCATGTTAATGAAAAGCTCATAGCATTATATTCAACAGAAGGGTTTTCTAGTGAACAGTTATTTCCTAAGTGTTTTATGGAGTGCTCTTAAATGGTGAACATGCTGCACACCACTGTTGTAGATACAGACAGCCTGTCTGCCTGGCGGGCTGCTTTCAAATGAGGAGGGTTGCGTGCCTTGTCTTTGGGTTGGTAATATCAGCTTGCAGTGTTACTGGGCCAGCTGGCCAGCCAACCCAAAGGACAAAGAGGAACTGCTCTAGCTGCAGGACTACTGCAGGGCACTAAAGGAATGGTCAGCAGTTCAAATCCACCAGCTGATCTGCAGGAGAAAGACGCACCATTTGACGTCTCTAAAGTCTTGGAAACCCCGGTGGGCATATTCTAGCCTGACCTAGAACAGAGGTTCTCAACCTATGGGTTGCGACCCCTTTGGGGGTCAAATGGCCCTTTCACAGGGGTCGTCCAATTCGTAACAGTACCAAAATGACAGTGATGAAGTAGAAATGAAAATAATGTGATGGTTGGAGGGTCACCGCCACATGAGGAACTGTCTGAAAGGGTCGAGGCATGAGGAAGGTGGAGAACCACTGCTCTACAAGGTGATTGATTTTGGGTCAGAATCGACTCCAGGTCAATGGGAAGAACTGCATTTCGGAGAGGTGGCTTTCATTCAGAAATTCAAACCACGCTCCCTGCTATCGAGTCGATGCCAGCTCATGGTGGCCCTATAGGACAGGGTAGAACTGCCCGCCCCAGCGGGTTTCTGAGACTGTACTTCTTTAAGGGAGTAAAACATCTCGTCTAAACTGCTGGCCTTGCAGTGAGCAGCCCAACACATACCCATTACCCCACCAGGCTCCTGACTTTAAGTTGGGACCAAATACAAGAGGGCTTCAAAAGGTTCACGGGGAAAATGGAACTGAAAGAAAATGGAATCCCCACCACCACCACCACCGATTTGCAGGCCTTTCCTACAGACGGGAGGAGATGGGGGAGTTCCCTGATTTTTAATGGTTTCTGGGAGAATGTGTCAGCGCATGCCAATGACAGGAAGGTGGCTTATATCAAAGGATTAACTGTGCCAGAACACCAATATCGTGGTTCCCATGCCATTAAATCCTAGCAGTAATCATTCCCCAAAAGGAGTGGGGGTCTTTTCTTAGGAAAACACAATAATTAGGTCAGGGCATGTCTGATGGAAGGAGTAAGACGCTGATTTTTTTCATGCGCTGGGTTGGTTTTGAAATGGTCTCGGCAGCCTGATTTCTTTTCTATCTGCCCTGATGATTTCTCTCTTGTGAGCTTGTGGCCCACAGCTGCAGGGATTAGAGGATGGTGCTAATAAGGCCAAGGCCAGGCTGCGGTCCCTGGCAGGGCTATTAGTGACCTTTCACACAGTCTGAAGGCACTCTTCCCGCCAACCAGCCTGCCTACAGATGTGTGCCCCAGGTCACCACGAGCACGAACAGGGCCCTGAAAAGAGTGGATATGCCCACACTTAGTCCCTTATAGGAGTGAGCTCCCAGGCATAGGACTGATCAGCACCGCAAATTGTTGTTTAATGGCCTGGACTCAGGGCTAGTTTTCTTTCTTTATTTCTTTTCCCCCTACTTTTGCCCCCAAATTTATACTTTCATTTTTTTAAAATACTTTTATTGGGGGCTCGTACATCTCATATCACAATCTGTACATTCATCCAGTGTGTCAAGCACATTTGCATATATGCTGCCATCATCATTTTCTAAGCATTCTCTTTCCACTTGAGCACGATATCAGCTCCCCATTTCTTCCCCCTCCCTCACCTGCCCATCCTCCCTCACAAACACTTGATAAGTTATAGATTATTATTTTCATATCTTATATCGCCCTCCGTTGCCCCTCACCCATTTTTCCGTTGTTTGTCCCCCTGGCAGGGGTTCTAGGTTGATCCTTGTTATTGATTCCCTCGCCTGGTATCTCTACTCTCCTTGTTGGCCCTGAGGGGTTTATCTGTCCTGGATTCTGTGTGTCAACGCTCTTATCTGTATCAGTGTGCATGTTGTGGTCTAATCCGATTTGTAAGGTAGAACTGAGGTCATGATAGTGGGGTGAAGGAAGCTTCAAAGAGCTAGAGGAAAGTTGTGTGGTTCATTGGTGCTATACTGGCTCATCTCTTCCTTGTGACCACTGTGTGAGGGGATGTCCAAACTGGGTGCATACGCAAATGTGGTGAAGAAAGCTGTTGGTGCCTGGCTATCAAAAGATATAGCACCTGGGGTTTTAAAGGCTTGAATATAAACAAGCGGCCATTTAGCTCAGAAGCAACAAAGCCCACATGGAAGAAGCACGCCAGCCTGTGTGATCATGAGGTGTTGATGGGATCAGGCAACAGGCATCTAAGATCCAGAACAAAATCATACCCAATGTGAAGTGGGGGAGTGGAGGTGGGGTAATGGAGTGGAGACCCAATACCCATCTGTAGACAATTGGCTAGTTTTCTCTTGGCTATTAATGACAACTCCACACTACAAACATTTTTTTTTAATTTAAGCTTCTGATGGCTAACTGGATGCTTAATCCAGTAGCTAGACAGGCTTGTCAGCATGTCATTGTTTACATATTTTCCTTAGACACAGAGCAGAGTTACGGAACAAATCCTTCCATATGCACCCATTCAGAGCAGCTTTTTAAAAAATCATTTTGTTGGGGCTCTTACAGATATTAAAACAACCCCTGCATCCAGCATCAATTATATCAAGCAAACTTGTACATATGTCGCCATCGTCATTTTCAAAACAGTATCTTTCTATGTGAGCCCTTTATTATAAGTTGCAGAGCTGCTTTCTAAGTGGACTTCATATGCATAACTTTTTTTTAATGCACAGCCAACTAATGAGAAACTCTGAAAGGGTTGTGAAGGAAAAACATACAAATAACATTCAAAATCAAAAGAGGAATACCCCATTTTATGCAGATAACATTTTCCTGGTTTTCTGAAGATGAGCTCTTGCGAATTCCAAGTGCCAAACTCTATCTAATGTCTGCAACTAAGAGGAGCAGTAGAGAGACAAATCAGTAAAACTAGAAGACCAGTGGATTGGCCATGGAAAATGGAGCTATCGATTGGAAATATATTTGAAAAGCTCCTTAGTAAGAAACCAAAGTAAGAAGCAGCCAGTTGGTGTTTGGGGTGGTCTTCTACTTGCATAAGTTAGACTCAGCCTAAGTGGGGATATCCTGTTTCCTTTAAGCTCCCCCAGCAAACATACTTGCCCAGAAGACAGGCCTCTTGAAAGAAGACTCATAGCCCAGGAGCAAAAATTACAGAGCTGAGCTCAATAACTGACAGCAGGGCAAAAGTGTCATATGCCGTGGTTCTTTCGAGCTCTGTGATGCCTGCCAGGGAATGTCAGTGGCACACAGAGTAAGGGTTCCATAAATGTTTTCGGAATGAATGTCCAAGTAAACCAGTTGGACACATCCCAGCAAACAGTCCTTCCAGAACCTGGCCTGGAGATTTTAGGAGGCTGGCAGCTCCCCGGAAACCAGGGAAACCCTCTAATGAGGGTTACCATAGCATCAGAAGGGTGTTTGTGTTCTTGGATTGACCCTTGAGTCATGGCACACTAAAAATGCCCTCACATTTCATGGGTTTGTTCTATGACCAGTTACTGGTTTGATCTTGGGGGCAAGAATTAACTTGCGGTTGGTAGCTCTGAGCATTTGAAAGGATTTCAAAAGTTTATGGGGAAATTCCATTATCTTGTCGACCCACTTTCCTTGTACCTTTTGAAGCCCTCTTGTACCACGCAAAGCAGGTACAGTCTTGCTGGAAACGGGAAAACTTGGTGGCCTCATTTATAACTGAAGCTTAAACACCAATTATTGAAGACGAGCACGCGTTTGTTTGCACAGGTTTCACAATGTCCAGGCATCTTTAGAAAATTACCAAAAAGAGAAAAGCTCTTCTGAGCCCCGTGAACATGGTACCAGCTTCAAATTCCAGTGTCCACAGGATCAAGTTTGATTGGAACATAGTCATGCTCATTCATGGCCACCTTGACTGGGCTGCTTCTGGGCTGCAACAGCCACGCTGAGCCTTTGTTCCCGAGACCCAATGGCCTGCGAAGGCAGAAAGAGGACTTGCTCAGCCCTCGCTAGAAAGATTTTGCTGACCCCGCTCCAGTTGGCCAGGTAGAAAAGAGGCACGGATAGGAGCTTTTCCAGGAGAGCTGAAGGTTGATCTATCGATCCCCTCTCTCCTGGCTTCTTGTTGTTGGGGGGGGGGGGGGTCTTCTCTGCGCTCTTAGCATGTGTTCAGAATGTTCTCGGCTGCGGTACTTTGTGATTCTCCTTTTACACAAAGAGATTAATTCTGAAGTCATTGCTTTGGAAGCCTGTTAAGACAAAAAAAAAAAATCTCTCGATGGGAAAATGAGTGATGCCTCCGATGCCTGCTCCCTCCTGCCCTGAGGTTGCAACGTTCCACCTCTCATCAGGAACCCAGTGCTGTCCTGTCCCTCCAACGTCTGTGTGGACGGCGGTATTGCAAAGGGTGGAT